CCAGAGTTTGTGTTCAATGGTCTAGTTGAGGAAACCTTGCCTGGGATGACCTCATGACTTGTGTGTGTCAGCTAGGGCAGGGTCAGGTGCAGTCTGTCACCTGTTCCAGGCAACACACATACGAGTGGCTGCAGTTGCCTGGTCAGTTCCAACACCAGCCCCATCTCTCATGCAAACTGAGGCATACTGTGATCTAGCCCAGCCCAGCCCAGCCCAACACAGGTCCAGTCCTCACGCCTACCAGCAGGTGCCAGGGCCTAGACGGGGTGATCACCAATGATCTCCACCAGGCCTGCCCCCAGCCTTGGTTTTTTATGTATGCCAGCATGTGCTGCAGCCTAGCCTAGTCCATCTCACATCCCAACTGGTTCTCAGGCACACCCATGGGTGTTGTGGCTTAGTTTAGCCCAATCCACATCCAGACTCAGCTCACATGCGTGCTGATAGACTCTGCCCCCTTGTCCAGCCTGGTCTGCATTAGCCCTGGCTCTTGTGCTCACAATCAGAGGCATTCCTGCATTCTCCCTACCAGGCCCACTCTCAGCCTTGAATCTTATGCTTGCCAGGGGGTGCTACAGTCCAGCCTCACATGACTTTTACTCAGTCTCCCCAGCTCCAACTATGGTGGTCCCTAGGGGGAGCTGTAGCCCAGGCCAGGAAGGCTCATAAGAACTCATAAGTATATGTATGGGCTGGGTTTGAGGACAGGCTGTACTCCCACTGGCACACATGAGAGCCAGGACAGGATGTGTGCCATGCCTACCTGGGCTAGGCTGTAACACCTGCCTGTGAGAGCTGAAACTATGGGTGGGCCATGCCACGTAGAGTTGAAGTACCTGCTAGCTATTACAAGTTCCAGGGTTGGGAATGGGCCTGGTAGAACTTTGGGGACTCTCCTGCTAGGCTGCAGCTCCCACTGCGGTATGCAAGAACTGGGGCTGGAGGCAGACCAAACTGGACAAGACTATAGCACACGTTGGCATGGTTGCTGGATTGGGGGTAAATCAGACTGGGCTAGGTCCCAGCACCCAATAGTGCTCACAAAAGCCAGTTTGGGTATGGGACAGGCTGGGCTAGGCTGTAGCCTAACAAGAAAGTCCTTCAAGTTCCCCTACAGGGTCCAGAATCTCATTTGTGCGGGTGCTGAGGCCCTGCTAGGCATGGTCTGCTGTCAGCCCTGGCCTTTTCATGTGCTGCAAGTGCTGCAGCCTGGCCCGCAGCCCAGGCTCCTTCGTCAGGTGGGTTCCTGTCTCAGCTCCCTCACCTACCAGTGAGTGTGGTGGATGGGTCCGGGAAGTCCCCAGGAATCATTCCTCCAGTCAAACATGCCCTCCCTGCTCCCACTCCAATACGCCCCCAGACCTCCATTTCAAGGCACTGTGCAGCCACTGCCCCACCCCTCGGGAGTGGGGCAGGGTGCTCCTCGCCTTCCCGACATGTCTTTGAAAACAACAACAAAAATTAAACAGAATAGGAAACTAAGTGAGTGCACTGTTATAGTTAGCACAAATTTGGCATTAACCAGACCCAGAATGCCCGCTAGCCTTGGCTGCTTTTCTCAGCAGAGTAACACTTGCCTAGGTACGAGGCAACCTAGGGAGTTGCCTAATACCTAGAGAGAAAAACAATCCCTAAAGTGCAGCAAGCTATTCTTTGCCAGGAACATTTCACAGTGGAAAACACAAAACCAGGCAAACCTTCAGTTGTCCTCAAATTCTGTACCCCATGACTCTACTCTCAAACATCCAGGGCCTGAAGGCACACATTCAGAGCCTCCTTCTCACTCAGTTTTGCAGAATCTCCAAGCCAAGATTCACATATTTTAAAATCATTGTTGGGGCTCCTTCCAGGTTAATGCTGCTCTGTGTCTGCTTAGGGACCGGCCCTCTCTCATACACCCCAAGTTGCAGCTTGCACCATGTTCTACCGGACAAAAAACCCATCCCTCAGCTCTTCCCTCACCCAAATCAAAATCAAACCTGCTCATTATTGCTTCTATTGTTGTCCTGGTAAAAAGTGATATGATGTGTGGCTCAGTGGTCCTTAGCATCCTGCTGGTGAAGGTCAGTTGGCTTTTTTTAACAAGGTGATACATATCTGCCCCAAAGCCAACAATGGTAACTTCCTAAATGCTGCCATGTTTTTATCTTTCCTACTATTTCAACCTTCTTCTACCTGCTACCCACTTCTGGTGGCCCAAGGATGGGATCAGAAGGTGATAAGATGTGCTAGTAAATTAGCTCAAGCACTCCCTGGATCCTGTCCTGCTGCCTTCTTCCTAGCGGGGCCACGGTGGTGTTTCTGGGAGAATCACACAGTGCAAAGAAGCTGTGCTGTCAGACAGGGAAGGCAGCGAGAGGTACAACAGTGCACGACCCCATCGAGTCCCGGCCCCAGCCAACTCAAGTCCAACTCAAGTTGTCTGACAATTCCATGTTAAAAAGAAAAAAAATCCCTCCTGTTACTAGCTAGTCATCCTTCATTTCATCTAAGCAGAAGCTTTTGCTACTCGGGAGGGACTGTTGAGGTGGTGATTTTGGGTGCCTGGCAGTCTGGTAAATGTTTAGGGGTATGTGTGATATTTCCACAGATCTTTGTATTTCTGATCATAATTTTTAAAACTCTTAATTGTTGTTACATTTTTGAAAGGTAGACAGGCAAAGCGAGACAGACATGGAGACAGAGGCAGAGGGCCCGCCCACTGCCTGGATCACTCCACAGCTCCCTGCAGCAGGCGTGGGCAGGCCAAGTCTGAAATCCAGAACTCAATTCCATCCTCCCACAAGGACGTCAGAGACCCGAACATGTGAGCTGCCATCACTGGCTAGCTTGCTAGGAAGCTAGAATTGGAAGAGAGACCAGGATTTGAACCTAGGCACTCAAATGAGATACAGGCATCCCAGGAAACATTTCACCACTGTGCTAAATGCCTGTCCCTCGGACTATAATGTTTACACAGCCTCCTTCACTCTAACTTTGAGAGTATACCACTTTGGTCCAGAGAGCCTGTCGTGGTTATTGAGGCTGGCAGGGGCTGGGGGAAGGGGGACACGCACATAGAATCCAGGGACTCTGACAGTCACCCCTGCAGGCTCTGCATGAGTGGCAAGGTCCCTGGCTTGCTGGCAGAGGCTGGAATTGCTGCTCTGGCTGACTCTGTCTTCTCATTCATGAGGTCACCACGTGCAAATCTCCCATTCCCCTTTCTGCTATAGCTCTAGCTCTTCTTAAAAAAAAAAAGTTTACTTATTTATATCTAAAAGGCAAATTTACATAGAGAACATCCTTCATTTGCTGGTTCACTCCCTAAATGGCTGCAATGGCCAGAGCAGAGCTGATCTGAAGCCAGGAGCAGGGAATCCCTTCTGGGTCTCCCATGTGGGTTCAGGCTCTGAAACGTTTCAGCCATCCCTAGCTGCTCTCCCAGGCCACAGGCACAGCTGGATCGGAAGTGGAGCAGCCAGGACACCAACTGAGGTCCACATCAAATGCCGGTGCTACAGGGTCCAGCATCAGCCTGTTGAGCCAGCCCCAACTCCAGCTCCTGATGGTGAAACTGAAGCATGTTACAAGGCATAGTTCAACTAGAGGGACAATGGAAGCCTCAGTCTGTTGATCTTCGAAAACCTTAAAGCAGAGTGCAAAAACATGATCTACATATAAGTTTTAAATATCTGGGATTAAGCTACAGACTTGGGGTAAGTTTTGGTCAAGTAATTAAGATACCTGGTTAGGGTGTGGGCGTGTCAGGGCTCAAGTTGCAGCTGCAGCCCCCATTCCAGCTTCTTGCTAAGGCACTCTGGGGCAGCAGAGCACAGCTCCAACTCTGGGTGGCTACATCCACGAGGGAGACCCACCTTCAGTTCCAGGCTCCTGGCTGTCACAGACATGTGAGTTTCCTGTGTCTCCTTCTTTCTGTTATTCCATTTTTCAAGGAAAATCATCTCTTAAAAAATGAAACGGGTTAAATTTAAGTATACATTTTAAGCCAAATATATCCAAAAAACTTCACTTCAACATGCAATCGATATGAAATCGATATGATACTCTATTCTCATACTCAATTTTGAAGTCCACATTATATTTTACACTCATGGGACATGCATATTTGAATTAGCCACATATCCAGGGTTGAAGAGTCACGTGTGGTCTGTTGGCTACCACATGGGACAGAACATTCTAGAGGAAGCATGGCATGACTTTGGAGGTCATCCAGCCTGACTTGTTCATTGCAGAATCAACGCAAATACAGGAAGTTTGAGAATATGTCCTTCTTTGTGCTGTGAGTGGCCTCGATGGGATGAGAACGCATCTTCACCAGACCCCTTGTTTTAACTCACAAAGCTGAGGAGCTGCAAAGCTGCACAAGGACCCAGGGCTCCCGCTGCTCTGGGGCTCTCTCCTGGGAGGCTCTGTGCCCTACCTGTCTTACCTTCCTCACAGTTCATCTAAAAAGGCTCTGGGAACCATCTGGATGCCAACCCAGAGCAGTCACACTCAGCTTCCCCATCTTCGCACAGAGACAGTGTTTTATGACTTGTCACCCTTGTCCCCAGAATCACTGGGTTCCGACAAACCACGGAATAATTCTGTCCCACTAGGCAATGGTTCTCAGCAAGTGTCCATCACAATTACACAGAGGCTTTCACAAACTTCACATCACTGGCTCCCTTCCCCAGAATCCCAGCTGACAGGTGAGTTCATGCAGATAGCTAGAGTTTCAAACAGGTCCCAATGATTCTACTGTGGCCCTCTCCAACACCCAAGGACCTCACGCTGTGTGGGAGGCACCAAGACCCCCTGCTGCCTGGCAGTGTGCAGCAAGTCAGGAGGTGGACCAGGCAGCAGGAGGCAGGGCTGGCCTGAGTGCCGCGGGGGCGGGGCTACCTGGCCTGCCTTCCCTCCCAGCTCTATATCAGCTCCAAAGGACACCTTCAGCTGCACTTCCTGATCTTGCAGCCTTCCCGGTGGTGCTGTGAGAGCCAGCGGATCAGGCAGGCATGCAGTGCGTGGGACTCTTCCTGATGGTCTTGGTGTCCTGTGTGGCTCTGCGCCCTGCAGAAGGTGAGTGGGGACAGCGGCCGCTCAGGCTTCCCACAGAGGGAAATCAGTGCTTGTCGGACAGGAGGCAGGGCAGTACTCTCCCTCTTCAATGATCTGTGACTAAAGATCACCAGGGCATGGCATATGTTAGAATCTAGGTCTCCAGGGAATTTCAGGAAGGCAATTCCATGTGAACAGTACATGCAAATTACCACCTGGAGAAGGAGGTCCTTGGGTTGGCATTCCTTTCTCTGAAGACAGTGGAAACAGAGTCAGGACGGACAGGGTACTTACTGCCTAGGGAGAGCTGATCTTTAAAAGGCGAGCAGGAGGAAAGGGCGTAAATGCACAAACTGTATCTGGGGCATTTAAATTGCGGCTTGTGCCAGCACGTAGCGGGAGATTGTAACTCCACCAGGACAGGAAGGGACCTGCTTTACAGGAGTGCCCACTGGTGCACGCAGGGAATGTTAGAGGTAGGCACCTGATAACACCTGGCTGATGACGTATTGTATTAAATTGGATCCTAAATTGATGCGTTCAGCACAGAGGTAGAATGTGAATTTTGTTTGTTTTTTTTTAAAGTATTGTTTAAGAACAACATTTCACATGTACACACTTTTGTGGTTGAAAAATATGAGTATAATTGGACTTTAAAATTCCTTTAATCTTCCTCTCGGTCTCTCCTCCTCTCTGTATATCTGACTTTCCAATAAAAATAAAATAAATCCTTAAAGGAAGCATCCGGCACAGTAGTCTAATGGCTAAAGTCCTCACCTTGCAATGGCCAGGATCCCATGGGCAGCAGCTTTAATCCTGGTTGCCTCGCTTCCCATCCAGCTCTCTGCTTGTGGCCTGGGAAGGCAGTCAAGGATGGCTCAAAACCTTGGGACCCTGCACCCGCGTAGGAAACCTGGAAGAGGCTCTGGGCTCCTGGCTTTGGATTGGCTCAGCTCCAGCCACCACAGCCACTTGGGGAGTGATTCAATGGACGAAAAATCTTTCTGTCTCTCTTCCTCTCTGTATATCTAACTTTCCAATAAAAATAAAATACATCTTTTTAAAAATTGCTTTGAAAAAGCTAATCTGGCAACCGTGGTTCTTCAGTGCATACCTGCAAGTACTGCTTGAAGTGAATTAGCACCGAGGAACAGAGCTTATCTAGATAACTGGGAGGGGAAAATATGGGTAACCTCTTCTACCTTTTATCATTCTATCTTATCAAGTACAGACAAACCTGTCATTTTATATATTCCTGCACTTTTTTTTTCCCCTGAGAAAAGCACCACTAAAGTTTCCAGGGTTATCATCACTGTTTCTCAAAGACTGTCTGCTAATGCTCTGCACGTACTTTTGGCATCTCTGCCAACTCAATTTTTTCCTGATTCTTCTTTGCATTAAGTTTTGAAGTAAGGTGTGCCTCCTGCCAGCTTCCTGACCTATTTCCAGCTGTTCCCAGAGCAGCCAGGGCAGCAGCAGCACCGCCCTCCTGTAGAAGTGGGAACAGCAGGCAGGGAGCGCACAGGGCACAGAGCGAGGCTGGACCACAGCCAGGAGCAGCCTTCCCGTGGGAAGGTCCTAGCAAATACACTGGAAATAGGGGAGCCGAGAGGCCCCCAAGGCTCTTGGTGCGTTTTATGGTTTTGGTGCGGGCTATGAGAAAACCGTATTTCCTGGAAAACCCCGACCTTTTGCCATTTTAACAAAAGTGACTTGGGTTGGAACGCAAGAGGGCAGTTTTCAGTCATGGAGCAGAGAGGGGGGCACCAGCACTGCTTCCCCCAGCAACCTTCCAGAGTCTGGGTGTATTGGCTGTACTGGCTGCCCTGTGAGCTGGTGATTCAGGCTCCAGGGAGGGGTGGAAGACCAAGTGACATGGGAGTGGGGAGGGCTTGGCAGGAGTGGGAAGTGGGCAGCCTTGGCAACGATTGTAGGGGCAAGAGGACAGGGAAGTAGCCCGTGCCAGTTTGGGATTTGGCAGATGCACCGAGGGCTTTCAGGCAGCAAGCACTTCCATTCTCTGGATGGTGTCTCCAATGGCTATTTTGATGTCCTGGCTCAATAGCTGGCATCCCTAGGCCTTCTGCTTAAATGAGGAAGCAGCTACTTCTGCTCACAAGGAAAGGACTTGGAGTCCACCCAAAGCTAGGGCGTCCTCTGCATCTGCTGACGTGGCCAGTACTGCATCCAGAAGCATGCCCATCAGCCAGTGCCAGTGTCCGGGCTAGACCATTTGAATCCATAGCCTTGTGAGCCTGACTGGTTTTGTTTTTTTTTTACCTTCCATTAGTTAAAAAAACAAATAAACTTACTCTACTTTTTTTTTTCCTTGTGTAAAACTCTATGTTGTAGCTACTGCTGGATAATCTTTAAAAAATTGTAGGCTTGAGGGATGCCCCAGGCAAGTCAATGACCTCAGACTCCCAATGGGCAAGGGCAGACCTCCAGGGACTTGCTCGTGTTCCTGAAAGCCTGGCCAGGCTTCCTGAAAACGAAGCCACTTCTTGTTCCTTGGCCTAGCCTCCAAGAACTCAGCAGCCCTGAGACTGCCTGACATCAGGACCCTGGATACCACCCTAGGCTCCAGCTTTAGGGCCACGGGGACTGCCAGGCTCAGCTGGTACACTAGTGCCACCTGTCATTTAGAAGTTTCCTAGAAAAGAAGCGTCAGACTGAGACAGTACTGTGCCCAGCAGGTACATACAAGTGGAGAAAATTGGGCTTCACTGGGTCCCAAATTGTCTTCCTGCTGGCAGCCTACGGGAGGAATCATGAAAAATATCCCCTCTCCCCCCAAATTGGGCAATTTCAAAACACCTACGAGTGGGGAAGGAAGTGAACGATGGTTTTTCCTACAGCTTGAGGTAGGGCAAGCCATGCCGACCAGGCCTGGTACCCAGCACCAGGTACATCCTCCAAGCTGCTGGAGCACCCCGGAGTACAAGCCCCGCAGATGCTCCATTGTGGATGCAAAACAGACCGCCGGAGGGCCACAGCTGAGCCCAGGCGAAGACCACCCGCCCGCCCTTTTCCTGCGGCTGCCTCTTGCATCCCTCTGGCTCCTCTCCCTGAGGCTTGGGCTGGGCCGCACACCGTTCCTGCCTCCGGGCCACGCACCTGTTCCACCCCTGCCCCATTGGACGCCAACGCGTGGTGGGGCAGGCTTTCAGGCGTCGGTTTGGTTCGTGAGTTCGCAGCTTCTGATGTCCGCTTGTCTGGTTCAAAGTTTGTACACAGCCTGGGACACAGCAGCTTTTGGCCCAAGTGCTGGGAGTGGAGGGTCCTTGTCACCCCCCGGGAGACCCCCCGACTGTGTTCCAGCCTCCTGGCCACCTCGAGGGGCCCAGCCCTGTTGTTTCAGGCACATGGGAACTTGCAGATCTGTTTCTCTTCCTTCCCTCTATCTTTCCAATGAAAACAACACACTCTAGCCGTTGCAATAAATAAATGTGGAAAAGTTAACGAAATAGAATTTGGTTCAACCCACATATTTGAATGGCCAGTTGTTCAAACCATTGGGGAAATACAAAGTAAGCCAATGCGACCGTTTCCGCCTCATCATCGTCGACATTTCAAAGTGAATGGTGATGGAACCCTGAAGCTGCGGTATGGCAGCACCAGTGGGGGGAAGGCGCACCCCCAAGCTCCGCCCAGCTCTCTGCCAGTCTGACCCGAGCAGTGGGATGTGCGTGTTCTGTGTCACTCCCTTCCCTCCGAGTCTGGATAGGGCAGACCACCTTTCTCCAGTCTCTCACCCACCCAGAGCCCCATCCTCATTTCAGGGTCCTTCTGCTGGGCCCCCTGTCGCTGACTGGTGCCTGCGCCTTCTTCCCTGGGATGGCGCCTGGGTACCCGTTTCTCAGGCCAGCAGAGAAATCCCTCTGCTCAAGTTACAAACGAGTTCTTAAAGAAAATTTCAGTGTGAATCTGTTGGGCTATATCCTGCCCAAGGCAAGTGGGCGATTGGAAGGTGGGCTGGAGGGGACAGGGAGGAATTTGCTGCTGCACCTCGGGTGCAGTCCTGCAGGGACCCCAGACCCTGGCTCTCCCAGCCCTCTGGGCGCTGCTGCTTGGTCCACCTCCAGATGCAAGAGCGCACTCTGAAATACAATAAGCTTCACGCATGACTCTGGGGCATCCCGCACATGTCTCTTTAGGGCGTCCCTAGTCCAGCAGCCACGCCTGCGTCTGGGTGAATGCCAGTCTCAGCCCACAAGCAGTTTGTTGCCCTTCACACCCCTGGCCACACCCAGAGGTGGCAATAGGGGAACCTGTGTGGGAAGGCTTCAGCCTCTTGAACCTCATCTCAAATCAACTTGCCTTTCTAAACAAACAAAAATTCATCTGCATAAGCTGTGTAAAGAGGACGTGGTCTTTTTCAGTTTACTCGGCACTCCTAAATGTCGCCTAAATAGAAGTTGTGGAGCCATAGTTGAAATCCAAGAGAGTAGTTGGCCACGCTTTAAAAATGAAAAAGCTAGACGTTTTCATGGGACAGCCGCGAGGGGGCAGTGTTACCTAACAAGTCTCACCGCCGCCCCAGGTCAGCTGCCCGGTTTCCATCCCTCAGGGCCCCCTCCTCGGCTGAGCCCGGTTTCCATCCCTCAGGGCCCCCTCCCCGGGTGAGCCCGGTTTCCATCCCTCAGGGCCCCCTTCCTGGGTGAGCCCGGTTTCCACCCCTCAGGGCCCCCTCCCCGGGTGAGCCCGGTTTTTTGCTGCCCTTTATATTCCTGGCTGTTTAAAGAGGGAGCCAGTAACTCCTGTCAACACGTTCCAGTTTCTGGGCTGCCTCCGGTCATTTGTTAGTCAATGTGACTTCTCACCTCTGAATCTGAGAAGTACAATCCAGTTTACTAAATCAGTGTAGGTTCCGGGGCTTTTCTTGTTTAAACTAGACTTAGGTTGGTGTCTGCACTTGGAGAACTCAAATTCCTTAGGTTTGTTCTTGCTCTTGCTTCTTAATTCCCACCTTACTTCTGAGGATACATCCCATAGTTAGCTACTTGGGTCTCAATTAACCAAGGTGGCCTGCATGATGCCTTGAAAGCTGATCACCTGTAGATGGCTAAACTCAATATTTTACTTTGTTTGGAATATTAAAGAAGTTTAATTTAGACAATAGGCAGCAAAGAGATGATAGTTTTATAAAGATCAACACATCAGTCATTGAAAAGACAACCAGATTTTCCAGAAACCCTTCTGCTTTCTGAGAGTTGGGGGTCCCGGTTGCGTGAACGCTGAGGGTCCCGGGGTCTGCCCCGAGGGCTGACTGCAGTGTTGCCTCAGCACCTTCCTGGCAGCTCAGCTTGCACAGCTCGCTCAGCTCGCTGTTGGTCTCCAGGTTCTGAACGTGCCTTGGGTGTTCCTGGCTCTGAGCGTGACTTCCCTCCGTCTGGATAAGTCTGTCCTCACTGCCCTCCGCCCCTGCACAGCGGTCCAGGCTGAGCCAAGTCCTTCCCGCCGAAATGTGCTCCCAGACCCCGCAGGATCCCTGCTCTCAGATCTGCACCTGCCCAGCTGCTCTCATCCTTGAGCAAGGCAGTGTGAGCGCCCATGAGCGGCGCTGCACATCGCCTTTTCGCTGATTTTGTGCCTTTGCCCAAATTCATTTTATCTTCTCCAAACGCAGTTTAAGTTGCACTAGGTAGAAGCCTTTCCTGCCCTGGTCTGTTTCACAAAGCCCTCGGTAAGGGCCTCTTGCTAACCTTAACGAACATTCCAGTTCTGTGGAATCCTAAAGATGAGCTCCATGCCAGTGCTTTACACCCTGTGATCTGACCCTTCTTTTCTTTTGTCTTTTTTTTTTTTTTAGCCATACTGCCCTTTGCTTCCAGCTGTTGCACTAAGGTTTCTCCGCACGTTTCCAGAAGGCTTCTGAGAGCGGCGCATGCGTGTCACCTGCAGAGAGCCGATGGAGATTGCGATCTGGATGCCATCGTGTGAGTGTTCTCGAGCGAGGAGGTCTAACTACTCAGTGAGCAACAGGTGGGAAAGGCCTTGCCTGGAACAAAACACGCAGGAAAACCACGGAAGAGTCTGTCTTTAGACTCCAGGTGGCCTGGAGCAAATGCACAACCTATGTGTTCAAGGAGGTGCGGAACCCCACGCTAGCCCTCCAACCTCCTCAACACCCTCCTGCCGTGTAGTTAGTCATGACTTTCTTAAGCTAAACAAGGAAGGCTCCGAGTGAAAAAGCAACTGTGCACAGAAGGTGACTGCGTCTCATTTCATGGCTTTCGCTGTAACTTTTCCCAGTCAAGTATAGGATGGGCGTGGCTGTTGTTTTTACTCTCTGCATCCATTACAAGTGAACCACAAAGCTCAAGCTGAAGTGTAGTAATACCTGTAGCGCTCACAAATGTTGCGGGCAATCCAATTGCAAATGTTCTTCCCTGCCTTCCATTCTGGTATGTGGGCTTATGGGGAACCTCTCTATTTCCCACCCAATGTTACCAAAAGCTGAAGACTCCCCTGGGCTTAATGGCTGTGCGGCGACATTAGGACAGGTCCCAGAGGCTTCTCATCTACCTGCCTTCAGTACATGTCTCTGTCTGTTGTGATCCCTGGGATGGGAGAGAGGGTTTTTCCCGTTTCGGGGGACTCTAGTACTCAAGAAACACTACACAATGTTGAGAGGCCGTGGAAGTTCATAGGAAGAATTTGTAAGTTGTCCACTGATAGGGTTTTTTTTTTTTCAAGCTACAGGACTGAAATGTTTTATCTGAAAATGTGGGCGTTTTTCTGGGAAGATGGTCCATCCATTTTCTGATGTACTTGAGACGTAACAGAACTTTAAAATCATACCTGGTGTCCGATGTTCTGGAGGGGGCCGCTCTTGGCCCAAACTTTTAAGCAGCACGAGTGTGGGAGAAGAGAGAGGGCGAGAGCTGTCTCAGCCTCTGCGTGGATCACATCACGAGGCCACGTCCACCAGCTGTGGGGGTTTACCCCTCAGGATCCCGCACCATCTGCGGCGGTCCAGGGGGAACCCTAACTTGAAGATTGCTTCAAGTTCTCTTGTTGTAAGTCTGGTTAGGCTATGCCAGTCTAGTGTTTTCATCTGAATGAACACTGTTGAAAATAGCTGAGAGTAAAATCATTGTAGACAGCTCACGAACAGATAGTGGATGTTCGCCCGGGAGGGTGGGGTGTCCACCCAGCTACACCGCAAATGCCTGAGGTTACTCCAGCTGTTCTCAGAAACATTACATTTTCAACTGTTCTCTGCTCCTTCTGCTTTGTGGGCATTTGTCACCTCGGACTGAAGGAGGTGTGGGAGCTGGCAGCAGGGGCGCCCCGCCAGAGTGAGGACGTTAGGGCGAGAGGCAGATTCTAAGGACACATCAGAAAAAGGATTTTCAGAGAAATTCCTTTGAGACAAGCAGGTGTTAGAGACATAAACCAGGAACAAAACAGCAGTGTAAGTCCTCATGTCAAGAAGGAAAAATATGACCCAAACCATGAGTTTTCACTTCTAAATGCCCTTAGCTTTATTTATTAATTTTTAAAGAGATTTATTTATTTTTCCTGAAAATTAGTTACAAAAGGGAGGAAAGAAAAAGAAATCTTCCATCCACAGAGGCGTAAGACTGTGTATATATGTATATGTCTATATATATATTTGTAAAGATTTATTTATTTTCATTGGAAAGCCAGATTAACACAGAGAGGAGGGAGAGCCTGGTTCGCTCCCCAAGCAGCTGCAATGGACAAAGCTGATCAGATCTGAAGCCAGAAGCCAGAAGCTTCTTCCATGTCTCCCACGTGGATGCAGGATCCCAAGGCTTTGGGCCTTCCTCAACTGCATTCCTAGGCCACAGACAGGGAGCTGGATGGGAAGCAGAGCAGCCAGGATATGAACTGGTGCTCATGTGGGATCCCAGTGTGTGCAAAGCAAGGACTTTAGCTAGTAGACTACCATGATGGGCCCTTGTGTATATATATGCATATATACACATCAAAAATAAGGAAAAATATTTTTTAAGGAGAGAGAAAAAAGATATATATAGATAAAATATATTAAAATATCTGTGAAAGATGGTAGTAATTTTTTTTATTGATTACATTGCATTATGTGACACAGTTTCATAGGCTCTGGGATTCCCCCCACCCCTCCCTAAACCCTCCCCTATGGTGGATTCCTCCACCTTGTTGCAGTATTATAGTTCAAATTCAGCTGAGATTCGTTCATTGCAAGCATATACCAAGCATAGAGTCCAGCATCTTATTGTCCAAATAAATTCAACGGTTTCTTAGGGAGACCATCTCTGGTTTGAAGGTAGAGCTGGCAGAGTGTCATCCCGAAGATGGTAGTAATTTTTGAGGCCTGAGATGGCAGCTTTTTTGCTCAAAGCAATCTGTCGTGACTTACTTAAGAAGTTCTGGCTGCTTCTAAACACAGCCGCAATGAGAAGTTGGTTATCTCTGGCAGAGTTCTGAGGTTTTGGAAAGCACATGGAGATTATCTGCTAAGAATAAAATTTAAGATTATGAAAGAAATTTATTAAGGAAAAATTATGGATATTAAAGAAAAATCCTTTTTCCAAAGTGGTTGTGAAGGGATGTTGCATTGAGAGGAATGGTAACAAAATTAAATTTAATAAACAATCCAGGTTGCAGACTCTGCCAGGATACTTTTTGGAATCCCTTCAACTGTCTCCAGTTACTTTATGTGGGTGAGAAAATTGGGGGGGGGGTGGTCTTATACCCTCTTAGAATTCATTGTGGGATGTGGCCGTGCCTGCTGGAATATTCTAGCTATGGTGGTAGGGGACAAAGTGTGGAATGGGGCTTCCCAACATTGCATCATCACTTTTTACCCTGATGGGATAAGCCTGGGATGTAAGTTACAGGTTAAGCAACCTTGAAATGCAAGCTCTGAAACATCGCAGCACCTCAGAGCTGGGAGCCATGTGCTGACAGCTGATTTTTCCTTGAGCTTTATTGAGAATGTGAAGTCCCTGGTCCGGTGCAGTAGCCTAGTTAGCTCAAGTCCTCACCTTCCATGTGGTAGGAAGGGCACTGGTTCTAATCCCAGCAGTCCTGTCCCATCCAGCTCCCTGCTTGTGGCCTAGGAAAGGTAGTCGAGGATGGCCCAAAGCCTTGGATCCATACATCCCATGTGGGAGACCCAGAAGAAGCTCCTGGCTCCTGGCTTCAGATCAGCTCAGCTCCGGCCGTTGTGGCCATTGGGGAGTGAACCATCCTCTCTGTCTCTCCTCCTCTCTGTAAACCTGCCTTTCAATAAAAATAAATAAATCTTAAAAACCAAAAGAGAGAATGTGAAGTCCCTCCCAGCAGGCCTTTGGAACAGGGACCACATGCTGGTTGCTCCCCATTTTCTTGTGCCCCCACAACTATGAATCCTTCCTGCTCCGCCATCCAGTCCTCTCTTCCAGCCCTCCCTTGGACTCCCCACTCGCCATCTTCCTCCTGGGGTTGAGCTGCAGGTGTGGCCTGTGAGCTCAGGGTCCTGCTGACAGCGCAGGGAGGGGAGAGCCTTTCAGACCTTTGCAGAGGGCAGGAGTTTCATTGCCAGTTTTTGTTTTGTTTTGGTTTGGTTTGGTTTGGTTTAGTTTGGTTTGGTTTTTTTCCTACTCAGCTCCACTACATCAGCAAAGCAGCTGATCACAGTGAGAACTGATTTTTTTCTTTGGACGACCTCTCTATGTAACACACTCGGAGGATGCCTGCTTATTAAGAAGTTATCCTCCTGGCGCTCTGGCTCCGCATGTTAAGCTACAGAAGACGTCTCATTTAAGTGCTGGTTTGAGTCCCAGCTGCTCCACTTCCAATCCAGCTCGGTGGTAATGCACTTGGGAAAAGATGTGCCAACAGAAGTTGACCCATGTGCTTGGGGCTCAGCACCCATATTGGGGACCTGTATGGAGTTCATGACTTTGGCCTGGCCCAGCCCTGGTTGTTGTGGCTACTGGGCGAGTGACCCAGTAGGTGGCTCTCTTTCCCTCTCTCTGTGACTCTGTCTTGTAAGTTTAAAGAGATGCCTCAGAAGAATATTCCTTTCGAACATTCCCTCGCACGCTGGCTTTATTCACTCTTTTGACCACTCCAAATCACACTCATTGAAGAGCCCGGGATTAGCTGACAGTGACGCCCCTTGGATTATCTAAAGAGTCAATAGCCTGATCTCAGTTTCTCATTTTCCCTGCAAATAATTGAGTCCAGGGTTTCAGTTTAATAGTATCTGCGTAGAACTCATACAATGCGTGATATTTACTAAGAGCTGTATGGCATCTGACAGAGAACTGAAAGTGATTGATATCGTTTGTGGCAAGAAGTGTTTTCAGTTACCAACAAGTTTGTCTGTTACCTTAGGGTTCTTCTAATCAATGTGAAACTTCATAGAATACAGTGAAAATGAAAACAAATTCTGAATTATGGTAAGGATCTACATTGCAGCTAAGCAAATGTTTATAAAATTTAACTGATTGTTTTGTTGCAAACAAAATCAGGCTTATTGTTTGGACAATTTTCACCCCATGTCTGTGCTGAACTGCCAAATTCCCACTTGAAACAGGGCCTTTAACTGGCACAATGGTTCAGTTGCTAAAATCTTTACCTTATACACACTGCTCTTCCACATGGGCTCGGTTCATTTCCCAACTGTCTACTTCACATCTGATTTCCTGGTTATGGACTGAGAAAGCAGTTGGGGATGATCCAAAGCCGTGGGATTCTGCACCCACATGGGAGACCTGCAGGAAGCTCCTGGCTCTTGGCTTTCAGCTCAGCTCCAGCCACTGTGCCATTTGGGAAGTGAACCAGCGGATGGCAGAATTTTCTCTTTGTTTCTCCTTCTGTCTGTAAATTTGTGTTTCCACTAAAAATAAATAAATACAGAAAGAAAGAAAGAAAGAAAGAAAGAAAGAAAGAAAGAAAGAAAGAAAGAAAGAAAGAAAGAAAGAAAGAAAGAAAGGGAGAACGAACGAAAGAAAGAAAGAAACAACAAACAAACAAAGAAATTCAGCCCGTAAGGGTACAGTGTCCAAAAGTGGGAGTTACCTGTAAGTCGTGAGGGTTTTGTTCATTTGTATTTCTACTGGACTCATGTATGGGTCTCATGTATTTCCATTTGTCAGCCTGCATGTCCGGCACAGAAAATACTGCATCAGCCCAGAGAATCCTGCCCTCGGGGAGTGGATGAAAGAGCAAACAGCCAAGGGAAATGGTAAACATAGAATCTGCCGTAAGAAGAAGCACCCCAAGAAGAACCATCAAGGGGCGCGGCGCGGGAAGCATGTGACAGGTGGCCACGAGACGTCTCACAGGACAGCTGATGCCTAAGACCACAGAGACGATTCCTGCGGTGAAGGAAAGCATTTATCTTCAGATAATCTTTTAGCAGGAGCGTATAATTGCTCCAAGTGTTTTATTATCAGCTTTTCCAAAGCTACAGAAAAGCTGAAAAAATGGTATAAGAACACCTGTGTACCATTCACCTAGATTCACTACTGCTAATATGCCACATTCACTTTCTTCTTTCTCGTGTGTATACAGAATAATTTTCATATATATATTTTCATACACACATATATGTATCAAACTTTTTTTGACAAGCTGTTTGAAAATAAGTTGCAGACATATGACACTTCACCTTAAATTTTTTTGACATTATAACTTGCATCCTTCAAGAATAAAGACATTTCCTATGAACTCACATTATTAGCTTTATACCTAAAAACTTAACAGTTTCATTTAACATGTATGTACCATATTCAAAATTTCCTAACATGTTTCCAGATTATTTTATATAACGTTTTCAAAATCTGGGAATCAGTCAAGGTCCATACATTCAAATTAATTGTTATATTTGATATCTTTTCAAAATACATATTTATTTGAGAGACAAAGATGCTAAGTTAGAGCAAGAACTCCCAGCCTCTTTGTCACTGTTTAAATGCCTGCAATGACTGGTCTGAGCTGAGGTCAAAGCCAAAATCTCAACCCAGGTCCGTCATGTGGGTCAGTCCTCGCCTGCTGCCTTTCAGGGTCCCCATTAGCAGGAACCAGGATTACGAGCCCGAGGCGGGCACTGCACTCCCACGGGTTATGGGCGTCCGGACCCGTGGCTTCACCTGGAGGCTGAATATCTGCCTCTGGCATTTTTCAATCTGGCTTTGTTGTATTTTCATCTTTCCTCCCATGGATTTGCCCTTTTGGAAGCATCTCAGCCAGTATCTCTTCCACATCGAGGTTTGCTTACTTATTTCCTTGTGAGCAGATTCAGGCTTTACATAATTGGTGAGGATTTCCTATGTAAATGCGTATAATTCTTATTGTGTCATCTGAGGTTCATGAACATGAGAGTCTAAATTCCAAACAGAAAATGTAAACAGTACTTCAAAATGTCCAATTTGACTGGATCCTATTGTCTTGATTGGTAAAATCTGGTGCTGAAAATCAAAAAACACCCTGTTGCTCCCTCTGCCTGCTGCAGTAAATTCCCTGAGCAGCTGCAGCAGGATCTAGAGTCAGTCCTCGGCCTAGTGATATGTTTCCTAAATAAGGCACCACAGAGGCTTCAGGGCATGCGCTAAGGTTCCAGTCTTCACAGCTATTGGAGCAGCAGCAGGCACCACGTGCCCAGGTGCCAACTCTCCCGGGCTTGCTTGCTGCCTTCACATGCCACCAGCCTCTTGCTTAACATTCCTCAAAAACACCACGGCAGCAGGTGATTCTCAACAATTCTGGGCGCTTTGTACGGATGTTTCCACTTTATGGAAGAAGCCAGAATCTCAAAGAGTTAAGTCACTCTCCAAAGTCGTATGATAACTGGCAGAAACAAGCCTGACCCCAGTTCTCTTTTCAGCCCCCGGATTAGAAGCAGGAAAGGTGTGAACACACAGATGGAGCGAGACAGGGAAGAGGAGGTCAGATCAAGATGTGTGACTGGGCCTGACCGGGGCGAAGCTCTGCCCACGGACAGGGCTTTCTTGGAAGCCTAGAATTGAAACAAGTTGCCCTGGCATTGTCGCTGCTGACAGTGACACCAACTGTAGATTAAAACAGCTCTGCCACCTCCCCTCCCCCTCCCCCCGGCGCTATGGACTTTCACTCACTAGGTGTTGAAGGAAATTGCACACAATTTCCAACTACTGATTTGCAAGGGTTCCCTCAGCAGCTCTCTCTCTTTTTTTAAAAATGTAGACACAGGTTTTATTTAAAAAAAAAAAAAGTACAGCATTCACCTATTTATTCAACACATCATGCTTGTTGACATGATAATGCAATACAGATGATCCCAAAGAAAACAATATCCTCCAATGCCCTTCTATGGCCGTCATCCACTGTCATCAAATTTCAGATTCCAAAAGCTAAAGAAAGCAACATTCAACAAGCGGTATTAATAAAATATGAAAGTAACTTCAAAATGAGGCATCTAACAATTTTTTTCACAGTATTCAATATTAAAGAAAGACTAGGATAAAAACAGCATTGTTTTTTAATCCGTTCAACCAGCAACTTGACTTATTTTTCATTTTGTTTCTCCGTCTACTCCAGTTTCCTAATTCTTCACAGTTGGAAGGGAGCAATAACTGACAGTAGGTTCACATGGCATTTTGATATGTACTTTACTGTAATGCAAATCATGGAAATTTTAATGACCGAGTGCCCAGAAGTCTAGATTCTTGAAGAAGCACCATTTTGAAGGCTGTCACATGTGCTTAGTAAGCATGACTGGGTTGCTGTTACTGTACTCTGAGCTGTTACTGTACTAAGAATAAACTCTGTTGTTGTTATTGTGCTGTAAGCTAATATGCTAGGAATAAATTACCCCAGCTAACATCCTAAGTTTTCTTTCTGTGAAAGTCATAGTAACATAGTACAGATGTGTAGTTTTAAAATCAAAGATACAGAATACGTAATCAAAAATAATATCCTTTTGCCCTGTCTTTCCTGTCCCCAGACTTATTTTCTTGAGACAATTTCTTTTAATTTTTAAAAAGTTTTAGTTCTTTTAGTGTCACTTCCACAATCTCAAATGAAATGCTTAAAGAATGTTTATATTTATGTATTTGAAGGGTCAAAGTTAGAGAGAGAAGAAAAGGAATTTTCTAGCTGCTGTTCCCTCCCCAGGTGATCTCAATGACCAGGGCTGGGAAAGGCAGAAGATTGACACTGGGACCTCTCAAGTGGAAGGGTCCCAAACACACAAACATTTTCTGCTTGTCCAACACCTAGGTAGGGAACTGGATCAGAAGTGGAGCAGCGTTTGTGTTGGTACCCTTATGGGATGCTGGTGCCATAGACCATGGCTTTACCTGCTGTGTGCCATAATGCCAACTCTGAGGACCTAAGGGAAAGAAAAAAAAGCATAGCAGAGAAAGGAGAGGAGAGGGGCTCAGGTGGTGGCCTCCCATATGAGTGCCAGTTCATGTCCTGGCTTCTCCACTCTGATCCTGCTCCCTGCTTATTGGCTTACAAAAGCAAAGGAGAATGACTCAAGTCCTTGGCTCCCTGTGTCCAGGTGGGAGACACAAAAGAAGCTCCTGGCTCCCAGCTTCGGACCAACCCAGCACTGGTCATTGTGGCCATTTGGGGAGTGAACCAGCACATGGAAGGTCTCTTTCTCTGAACTCTGAGTTTATTTTTATTGCAAAGGTAGGTCAGATTTACAGAGAGAAAGAGGCAGAGAGATCTATCCACTGGTTCACTCCTCGAGTGGCCACAACAGAAGGAGCTTAGCTGATCTGAAGGCAGAAGCCAGGACCTTCTTCCAGGTCTCCCATGTGGGTGCAGGGTCCCAAGGCTTTGGGCTATGCTTGACTGCTTTCCCAGGCCACATCCAGGGAGCTGGAAGGGAAATGGTTAACTGTGACATGAACCTGAGCCCATTTGGCATCCTGGTGCTTGCAAGGTAAGGATTTAGCCAATTGAGCCATTGTATTGGAGCCAATAAATAAATATTTAAAGAGAGAGAGAAAAGAAAAGAAAAAGAGCCCAGGGACTAGACTTCAGTGCTTTCTAGTTTTTTTTTAATTTGTTTGTTTTGTTTTTTTGCTTTAGAAGTTTTATGTCATTGACACTTCTTCCTTACAGCTTTAATGTCAGTCTATGGTTTTTTGTTTGTTTTATTTTAAACATTTATTTTAAATATTCGCAGAGAGAGAAGAAAGCTGTTGATTCTTTCTTAGGGGTTGACGCCCTGAATGTCTACAATAGCTAGTACTGGGCCAGATGAAAATCAGAAGCCAAGATCTTCTCCCAGGTCTCAATGCCTTTGTGACCAGGCCGTGGAAGTGACTTTATCACCACTTCATGCTATTCTGTGGGGCACAGAGACCAATCCTGACACTAAGTGGAAAGGGGCTACACCATGGCATGAGTACCGGAAGTCAAGCTTTGGGGAAAGCAATTGCAGCAGCAGCAGGAACCAGTCGTTGTGTATGATTTCAAAGACAAACATACAAAGGCAGGCCAAACTAAATTACACTGTTCTCTTCAGGGCAATGATTAGTATGAGGAGGAGGGCATGGCAAGGAGAGAGAGAGAGAGAGAGAGGTTTGGAGGTTTGACCATGCTCTGTTTCTTGACATAGGTGCGGTTATCAGACTCTTTACTTTGCAAAACACTTATCTGTAAATTACAATATCTTCCTCTTCTGTGTGTATATAAAACAGTGACAGTTAAAGCCAGAAGAATGAGAAGAAAAAATGAAATAGAAGAGAAGTAAGAAGAAGGTGAAGGAGAAGGAAGGAGAAATGAAAGAGCAGAACTCTGGAACACACGCGTGGCACGTAGGATTCCCGTTCTACTGCATAAGGGGAGTCGGGCCTTCTCAGGCGGAAGTTGGAGCTGCCTGGCAAACAGTAACAGAGGAAGAACGGGGGCCACTGAGTCGCCCCATCACTCCAAGACAAGATCAGCAGCAGTTTTCTTATCACAGCCTCAGGTGCCATCACTTCCTGCATGCATAGACAGAGATACTCAGGAGAAGCACTGATATTTAGAGGTCTATAACATTGTCCCATTCCCAGGGTGCACCAGGCCAACTACTAAGAAGCAGTGTGTGTGTCTTGGCCTCCTGGGCTTCTCCCTTTACTCCTGAGAGGGGCAGCTCCAACCTCTCATGGCTAATTGCACATTCCTAAGGTCTGTGTTCTTTGCTTAATGCCAAGATGCCAATTACTTGCCATCAGCTCCTACCAGTTAACAGAGAAAACACACCTCACTCCGTAGTAAACATGAAAATATTTCTCGGCCAATCATTCATTCTATCAGTCTTCCCAGTTAGTGTAACAGTCATTAAGAACGCAAAGATGAACTTCCTCCAGAAGTTCAGA